AAAGTCAAAAAAACATCTATTCCAAAACATGTTCTGTAGAAGGCTGCTCGGGTGGGTAAGGATAGAGTTGTTAAGGAAGATGTGCTTAAAATTTATGAGCAATGGTAAGTATATCAATATTCCTTTAATTAAATCAAAAGTTTATTAACATAAATAATTTATGAGTTTTAATCACCACTAATTTATTTCGATATGCATATGAATTTCAGGAGAATCTATCTTAATCTTTAACTCAATTTGAAGACCATGATTACAGAAGCATACTTAGTCGAGTATTAAATATTCCTGAGTATACCGGTCGTGTGAGGGGTAAGGGATTCAGGGTGACTCAAAAATCTTTGGGTAACCATCAAAAGAGGAAAGGTCATAGCAATAAAGAAGTGATGGAAGAGTTAGAAAAATTAAAAGCCAAAGTTCGTGATTTGGAAAGGGACAAAGAAAGATACATGTAAAAAAGGCAAGGTTCGGGGTTCAAGGATACTAGTGACAGAGATAGTATGAATTGTGATTTCCAACAGAAAATTCCTGAGTTAATATATATTATTATGAATTAGCACAATTTTTTTAATTTACATATATACACATTAACAATTTCATATTTATTATTGGTTTAAGGCATTTCATCCTGTCAGCTTTATTTATCGTCACCGACTTATCGCATGGTTGGCAAGGGAAAAGTACATAACACTTTGGAAGAAGTACTTTACCATAAAGCGTTCCCTACTGGATATTTGAAAGTATCAATTGATATTGCTTTAGAGAGGGATACGCCATTACCTTTACCTGACAATATTTCAGATGCAACATTGGTGGGAGAGGCAATAAGATCATATGTTGCATGGCTGTCAAACCTCATTTGCATAGATGATGAGGTATGTTGAAAACCATTATGAACCTTTGAGTATTCAATTTTTTACGACCATTTAACATACATTTTTTTCATGGTAATGTTAGATTCCTACAAAATCCAAATCAAAAGATAAGGGGATTACGTGGAAAACCGAGTCAGTTGCATCCAAAAAAGCGGTATATTGATATATACATAGAAAATGTTAACTCACGATCTTATACTTCACCTAACTTATATGAATTTGATCTATAGATTCATGCTAAAGAGATGCAACAAGTCAGTTTGAGTAAGATGCCTGAAATTGGCAACATGTCCACACAAAAAAAGGATGTTGTAAAGTCCGCGAGTAGAAAAAAAGCCTACTTCTCGGTATAGGTCGTGACTTTAGACGTTAATGGGAATATCAGATTTGGCTAACGGATGGGCTCTTAATACACCTATGAAGGAATGTATTTTTGGTTTTTCCTATTACGAAACAATTGGTAAAGAGGATGTGGATCAAGTTCTTAGACGTTCAGAATTAGGCCTCGGTGTTATCGATACATACATCAGGTAATACTCCAATCAACTTTATTTAATTAATTGAAAAACTTATCTACTCATTTCAATGAATGGTCTTAATGTTAATGATGTTTTTATTTAAGTTTCATGTATGACAACTTGATGTGTCCGCATCAATTGGACCAAATATTATGTTTCTTATCTCCAAACAATATCAAATCATGATTAATCGAACAAAGACCAGATGAAGTTAAAGAGTACTTTGTCTGTGCATTTATGGCCAACAAAGATACAGAAAAGTTGTTTTTTACTATTTAATACTGGAAATTGGTTAGATTTTATTCAAACTTTATATATTATAATTTTTTGTGTTTTGACGTTGTGTAGAAAGTTTCCATCTATCCTTTGTTAATCTTACAGTGGACGCTGGTTGTTGGTTGTGATTAATCCTATAAGTGAAATTTTATATCATCTGGATTCATTAGAAGGTGATTGGACAAAAATACCCAAATATGAAGGAGATGGTTGTACGTAAGTTAGATTGTTCTAAATATTCGTTTGGATATTTATTTGTTTATTTATGTGAGATTGTTCTAAATATTCGTTTATATTTTGTTAGAGTTATACAATTTTTTTGATCACAAAGAGATACTCAAGTACCAAAGAGTAAAGCAAACAACATTACATGGATCAGAGTGCATATATATTTTCACAATTTTGATTATATTAATGATGCTACTTGATAAAACAATTTAAACTATATATCCTGATATATATTCGTATTTTTGTCCATGTGTAGTGTCCTCGTCAACGTAATGGTATAGATTGCGGTTATTTCATGTTGAGGTTTATGAAAGAAATTATTCTTTTGAATCAAATAGAGATTCTAACCATGGTATGGTTTCTAACTTATGATTTATTTTAATATTTAACACATTTCATCTAATTAATTAGTTTTAACTAAATCATATTATGTTATATTATGTAGTACTTTGATGAATACAAGTCTTCTACTTACTCGAAAGATCAATTAGATGAAATTAAGGAGGATTTGTGTCAATATATTATTGAGATGGAAATTTTATAAGGTATTGTGACACTTTCATTGATGAGAATTTTTAGCATATATAAGTTTGAGTTTTGATGAGATACTATGTCGTCATTAGTGTGGTAAATTGTGTTGCAAAGTTGTTGTTGTTATGTGGAAGGTTAGTTAGAATGTCATTGGATTTAAATTCAAATAAATTTTTGTTTGTATCATGGTATGAATTGGAGAATTTTTAATTGTGGGTTATAACAGATTCTTGATTTGTTTTGTTACATTGGTTTGTGTTAAATTATAATAGTTATAAGATTTAAGTGTACTTATATAGCTTGGTTTTACTATGTCTTTGTTGGTTTTGTTTCAGGTAGGTGTGCATATGTAGAAGATATAGAGATAACCAGTTCATTTAGGATTCTTCATTGTTGTTGTTTGTAGAGAAGATAACAGCTCTAAAAGAGAGTAATATGTATATTTGGTGCATACTTATTCGATTATAAAGCTGTATATATAAATATGTAAATTTATGTATATATAAATTATTGAATTCTTCAAGTTGTATCCCATTTATGTGTATATAAATTATTTGATTAAAATTGTATATATAAATATGTAAATTTGGTGCATACTTATTGGATTGAAGCTGCAAATTTATGAAATGTTGTGCAAATTTGAAAGACAACACTTATTTTAAGTGATTATTTGTACAAAGCGCTTAAAATATAAGCCGTATATATTAAAAAGTTTGTGAACATTAGATAGCACTTTAAACAAAAAAGCGCTGCCTATTGTGGGGAATAGAAAGTGCTTTTAAAGAAAGCGCTGCCTAAAGGGGTTCTTTAGAGAGCGCTTCTAAAGTAAAAAGCGATGCCTAAAAGGGACTCTAGAGAGCACTTTTAAAGAAAGCGTTGTGTGATATGGTGGGAGAAATGACTTTTGGTTTTTCATTTTATCGCAAATGTTGCGGATAGCAAGAGTCGCCACCGAATTTTCTCGTGTCATTGAGAATGTATACAAAATGTTTGTTTTTGAAAATATTTATTGAGAGGAAGTGTTGTTTTGTGAAAAGTGTTTTGAATATGCCAATGTAAAGTTGTCTGATTTATAATAACCCTTGTATCAGTCCTTAAGAGTGTTTATAAAGCGTCTTGAAAGTAGTTGTTTTTTTGAAAGTGTGAGGTGCGGAAATTGTTTTAGTTTGTGAGCAAGCGATTACGAGCGATTTACCTACTCAAAAAGTATTTGTTCTTTTTCTCCTCCTTTATATAGAACTACCCTACCATTAGTTAGTAGGAAGCTTTATCATTGGATGTGAGGGACAGACATGGGTCATCGTATAGTCATAGAAGGCAACTTGTAGGGCGCTTTAACAATTTTTTAGTAAGGGACTAAGATCGTTTACCGAAGGCAACATCGAAGGGTCATCGAGGGACTACGATCTTTTTATCGAGGGTCTTTGCTAAAGCGTCCCACGTTCGAGGGACATGACAGTTTTCCGAGGCAACAAATGAGATTACCCTAGAGGTGCGCGTGTGCAAGGTGATTCATGTTCATTTACTTTAATCTTGAAATCAGGGCTAACTATATTATTTTTAGTCTTTTCATACAAGCCTAATTACTAACAGTTATAAGAAAAACGGTAAAGTGCGGAAAATGAAGTTCTACGCTATTACAAGACTTCGGGAATGGGGCTACAAATTTATGAATGTTGGGGAGAAAAACGGTAAACCCTAATTAACTATTACAACCTTTGAGCAATTACATAATAGCAAAAAAAACTAAATGAAAAGATAAATCAAATGCGTGAAAAATGTAAATAACAAAGTAATAAAAAATAATGTTAGAAAATATTCACAAAGTTTTCTCCCCAATTTTAAAATAATGTTAGAAACTAAAATAATTAAAAAATATTTAGCTAAACTATATGTAATTTTAGTTGAGTTTTAAAATCTAAATTAAAAAACTAAGAAAAATATTTAAACACAAATAAAGGGGTTTAAACAGAAAGCAAGGGTGGAAATAAGCAGAATTTCACATGGGCTGAATGTTCCAAGCCCAAGACTTATTTGTTATGTAGAAAAAAATAAAATTAAAATAAAAAGGTGTGTGTTAAGGAAACAAAAAATACAGAAAAGAGATAAAATGCTCCCCATAGGTCTCAAATCCATCCCCTCGCGCTTGCTAATCAACGCCTCAACCACTGCACCATCTGTTCATTCATGTACTATGACGCATCCATTAATACAAAAACTAAGAATTAAGAAGTGGATTGGGATAAACAAAACAAGCCCAAATCCGAACCTATCTTTAGGGGAATAGAAATGGATTTCATGTAACCCTAATTGGAAGTGAGAGGCGCCGCTGGTTTTCTTGGGAAAGGTTAACAATTAATTAAATTATTATTACTTACCATTAAAATAAAGTAAAATTAGAGAAAAAAAATTAGAAAAATATCTCTCCAATATCTCACACTACTTTCTCTCACTCGTTCAACCATCCTTCCCATGCTTCTCATGATTTCTAATCCTTTGCTCCCAGCTTACGCTTCAACAACAAAGAACTATCATCTCTCAATTTTAATCTCCTTATCCATTTTAATGTCTCACCTCACAAAATCAAAAGTAGATAAAGAAAAAGTATGCAGCAACCAATCGGTATCAAAATTTTGAAGAAAGTGAAACCCACCAACCTAGAATTTTGGTGCGAACCGACGGTGGAATTTAGAGGCGTTGCACAGTGGAAGCAGATATGTTCGCGGTCCGAGAAGAGTGCGGTGTTAGACTGAGGAGTTACTAGAATGAATAAATTCGTCGGTTGTGAGGTTAGAGTCATGGTTTATTCATGCAATAGTTCGGGCTGCGCGCAGCAGCACTGATGCATGTCGGAGTAGCTGAAGCGGAGGTATGTAATTGTCAGTGATTTCAGAAACAGTTCTGCATCTTTATTTTTTTGCTTGTTATTTTGTATTTTGAAGGGTATTTGTTGTTGTTGGAAAGTAATGGGTTGGAGAATTTATGGTTTATTCATGGTGTGGATTGTGATGAGTGTTGTGGTTTGAAGTTGAAACGAAAACGAAGGTGATGATAATGTTATGTAATGGCTCTGTTTTAATGTTGTGAATTTGAAAATCCACATCTTGGTTACAGGTTTGGGATTTGGTTGATAGTGAAGGCTTGTGAAGGAGATTTAATGAAGGTTGTGGAGGGATTTCTGAGTTTGTCTCCTGCTTTATATCAATAAATTTTCCCTATATCAGTAATTTTCTCCTCTTATCAGTGGACTCCCTAATATCAGGCCCCTTCTCCTTACTGGTTTTTTCTGAGTTTCTCCCTTTTTGGATTGATTGTTGACTGGAAAATTTGATAAGAATTTGCAGGTTGAAGGAGGTTTATGCTCAAGCCTATTTAGATTTTCGGTTTGAAACTCTTAATAGCTTATGATGGAGCTTTGATGGAAGGTTATGGAGGAAGAATTTTCTAGATGAGTTTTTGCAGCATTTACTGTATTCTTTTTCTCCGCCTAATTTCTTGTGATTCCTGTCTGTTTTATAGCAAATGAGAATGAAGTTTTTGGGCGAAAGTTGATGATTTTGAACTTATTTTGGTATGTTATTTTTATCAATGTTTTAAAACCCAGATCGGTGATCGACTCGGTAAAGTTACTGGGTCACTGGGTTACTGGTCGGACCAGTTGGTCACTGGTCAGACCGCATGGCTTTTGACCAGGTTTCTATAAAAAATATATTCATTACCTGAAATTTGTAACTATAATAATATAGAAAATTATAAATTCAAATAATTTAGAATAAAAAAAAGTATTAGTAACAATCAAAATAAGTGATAGAAACTTAATGTAGCAAATTATAAATTCAAAGAAGTGATAGAAACTTAACAATTCATAAGTTATAGTATTATAATAAGTCACAAAAATCTATACTCAACGATCCATAATTTTTTATGTCCATGAAGTCAAATTGTCATAATCTTGATATTCATATCCATCTTCAACTTCATTGTCTTCTCCACCAACTTCATCTTCTCTGGTGTTGCTTTTTTCTTGATTCACAGTATCAACAATAGTATCTTGTGCATTACCCATATCTCCATCTTCATCCTCATTTAAATCTATTTGATCTATAACAATATTTTAAAAAATAATTAACAAAAAAATTTTAGAGATGGTAAATATGAGACATTAAATTGATTCACAACTACAAACTATTTTATGCTCATATTAGAACATACCAATATCACTTGAAATTGGTTGGATGGTCATATTTGTAAGGTCATTCCGCAATGCTTCCAACTCTTCATTGGTTAAGAGAGGTGGTGAATCCTCTAATGCCTAACTAGAATGGTCGGCAATTGTTTCAATATTGATAGGATCATAACTCCCATTTCTTATTTTCCTAAGCACACATGAATTAAATCTAAGTATATGTAGTTAAATATAAAAATATAATGATCAGAGAAAAATAAGCATAATAATACATATTTTGAAGTCTCAAGTTGTAACGAACAAACACTAAATCATTAAGCTTTTGGTGCTCCAATCTATTTCTTTTTTTGGAATGAATATGCTCAAATATACTCCAATTGCGTTAACAACCCGAAACACTACAAGTTTGGCTTAAAATACGAATAGCTAACCTTTACAAAGTTGGTGTACAAATGCCATAAGTTTCCCACCATTGATCTGTTTATACCATGTGATTAAATAAATTTATAAACATATTGAAATATAAAATAAAATATATATCAAGAGTTAGAAGTTATGAAATTACCTGCCCTCACAATACATCGTTCATCCATGGCTGATTTCCTTCCAAAATCTAATTCACCGTCTTTGAATATTCTCATCTCATCTGTTAACTTCAATCGAAGTTCAGAATTTCCATTAGCATGCTTTTCAATGACATATAAAAGTCCTGATGTTGTGGATGCATGTTTTTCAAATTCTACATCATTATATCTACAAGCTGGATTCAACCAATAACCGAAAGCATGAAGATTTTTGCGGAGCTGTGGATCCCAATGTTTATCTAATATTTTCAAGTAAGGATCCACTTTCTTCTTATTTCTTCGAAACCTCCTCACCATCTCCTCTCTAGCTTTGACTATAGATTTGTATAGAATTCCCATAGCAGGTTTATCTTCACTATCAACAATACATAACACACACACACAAGCAAGTGGTTCAGTGAGTTTAACTATATCAGCATATTTACTCCAAAATCCAAAATCTAAAACTTGATCCACAAACTGTTTTGCCTTTGCTTCTTTGGCATATGCTGAGCTTCACTACAAGAAAATTAGTGTTTAACGACACAAAAATTGCGACAGTTATGTGATAACTGTCGTAATTGACATATATAGACAGTGTTTACGACAGTTGACACCAACCGTCCCTAATATTTATTTTGCGACGGTATATTTAACCATCATAATATTATTATTACGGCGGTAAAACAACCGTCGGCCCCCATTTAACACTTTTAACATTGATTTTTCACCAACAACTAGTCACGACGGTAAAATTAACCGTCCTAAAAGGCATATCACGACGGTAAAGCACCCGTCGCACCCTTAAACCTTTCACGACGGTAAAATTATCCGTCCTAAAATTCATTTCACGACGGTAAAACAACCGTCGCACCCAAAACCTTTAAAAATTCTCATGGGCACGACGGTAAAACACCTGTCGCCGTAAAAAAGTTAAAAAGCCCTTAAAATACATAAAACATCAATTCATTTTCTACTCCGTAAACATTATAAATATCACTAAATAAAGTTTATTACCACCGTGAGCCACCCTAACCACTCATATTTACTAAGATCTAGGAATATCCCATCCAAGTGAGGTAACTCACATGGACTTTTATGGAGTTTTTTGATAAATAGATTTTGGTTTTTCTTTTTATATTTTTAAAAGACCAGTGTTTCATTTTTCCCATTTTAAAAAACTTTTTTACCTTGCATTTTATTTGCTAGTATATTCTCTAGCAATCCAAGTTCCAAATCATAAATTGCTATTTTTCACTTATCCCTACCGCAAACAAGGAACCCGAAACCCAAACTCTCATTCCGCCACAGACCACTCTCAACTATCTTCAGTTCCTCCAAAATTTTCAAACCTCTTTCGCTTCCTCATCTCACAACCACCACCAATTTCTCAGTTTCGTCAATTTTCGGTTTTCATACCTTCGAAATGGAGAATCTTAACTTAGCCCTTGTTTCTTCCCCTAAACCTCTACTTCTGGGACATTCCTCCTCAAAAAACGTCTTCACAAGAAGAAAGCCTTTCGCTTTTGGGACTTTTCGCGTTTCTGCTAACTCTTCATCCTCTCATGTCACCAGGGCTGCTTCTAAATCTCACCAAAATCTAAAATCTGGTAATCTTATGAATATGATTTTTGCTTACCAGAAATAGGGTTATTAGGTTATGATGTACTTGAATGAAATGTATGTAATTTAACTGTTGTGTCTTGATGTTTGACAGATGTTGTCCTGTCGGGTGGAAGTTCAGTCTGAACTCCTGCAGCAAGTGTTGTTGTTTATGTTACAGAATAAGCATCTGGGTATGGTACAAGTTTGTGAGTTTTTAAAGCCCTTGCTGGATTTTTCGATCATAAGATTGTTAGGTTCTGAGTCACCCTCTTCTTCATTTGGATTGCAATTGGTATCGTCTATGGCATCATTCTGTTGCTCGTGTCCGAGTGAGTCCATGCCTGTTCTTATGCTGCTAACGGAGTGCCTTAAGTATCTTCCACATGAGACCTCTGAAGTAAGTTTATTAATATTGAGAAGGAGCATCAGAAATATTGGTTAAATTACACATTTTTCTGGTCATTACATTTTGTTACTGTAGTAGGTGAAATGATATAATTATCTTATAGCTGTATTCTTTTTGGGACTCCTCAGGACTATAGGAAATTAGTATTTGTTGTAGAACATATGGTGGAGGCGTATATAGTGGTACTTAAGTCTCTGGCCGGAGAGAAATTGGTATGTATCGTCCTTGTAATTTAATGTTCACATTTGTATTCACTGTTGTCATAATTTAGTTTCCTTGATTATTATTAATGTAATTTATGCCTTTCTCTTGTATTGATCTTGATCCTTGTTAATAGCTGATTGCCGAGGTTCAACTACATGCTGTTGAATTCCTGGGAACAGTTCTGTCTCTGTTGACGTGTCTTCAGTGGCACTCTGGTGGTTATGAGCCCATAATTGAACTCTCAAGGCGATTGTGTTCTGTTCAGAAAGATCTCGGTTTGCAATGGGAGCCTGGTCTGTCAACGATTATGGCGTCATTATTTACAATCCTTGTTCAATCAGAACTTGAGCATGAACAAATTTCTATATCTAAACTCCTCCTCTTAATCCTGAAGTGGAAATACGATAAGGGTGAATTTTTATTATAGCTATGCCAGTTTGGAAAACTCCTTCATTACAAATATTCGACATTGTATTAACATCACACAATCCAATGTTGATTCAGATTATGATGCTAAACCCAGCTTTACACAGATCTTGGTAATCTCATCTATTGGGTTGATATTTTTCATAGCATTGCGTTATCATCTCAAAAAGATTCGAGATCAAAAGATCATTCCGCGTTTAAGATTATCGCGTGCAGGTCACCCCCCAAAGCTTGAAAGATTCTCTCATTACGTAGGTATACAAAAAAATATGTATTCTATTCAATTACATACATTGATGGATCCGTTATTATTTTATCATTTGGAAATTGGAATGAATCTATATGTCATTTTCTTTGATTTGTTACAGCTAGGCAAATGGGGTTCAAGGATAGGAGAATCGGTCCTGATATATGTACATTGGCCTCACTGTTATTTGGGCAGCATTGAACACATTTGCGTTAGAAGTTATCGCCTTCATCGATATAATTTCAATATGGTGGCAGGTACTTTTGCTTCTTTATCTAACTATTCCAACTTACTGATTACAGTGAATGCGTTGTATCTTGACTCTAAAATGTACATCACAATTTACTCATAATCATTTTTACTGTGACAGGTTATTGGTGGAGCAGTGATAGTTATAATGTTACCTCTAGTGGCACTAACTACACAATCAGCTTCATATGTATTCACAAACTTTGAATTAGCACCTAATACAACAGGAATATCAAGCAAACCGTATGCGGTGATTCTATCGTTTCTTGTGAGCCAATATTCCCTCTATGGATACGATGCTGCAGCGCATCTAACCGAAGAAACTAAAGGCGCAGACAAGAACGGACCTATTGCAATACTAGGTAGTCTTGCCATCATTTCAGTATTTGGTTGGGCTTATATCTTGGCACTCACATTCAGCATTCAGGTATAAATAAATATAATCAACCAATTAACACTTCAGTTTTTGACAGAAGAGTGATAATTAACACCGGTTTCCATCTCTGATTCAGGATTTCGCTTATCTTTATGATCCAAACAATGAGACTGCTGGAGCATTTGTGCCAGCACAGATATTGTATGATGCATTCCATGGAAGATATCACAATTCTGCAGGAGCAATAGTTCTACTATTTATAATTTGGGGTTCTTTCTTCTTTGGTGGACTTTCAATCACCACAAGCGCTGCCAGAGTCGTAAGTACTACGACCCTACGAGCCTTTTTGATTTTGATTGATTTATTTGAGTTTATCTTAAACAATGTAATTTTCAGGTTTATGCACTGTCAAGAGATAAGGGAGTGCCGTTTTCGTTCCTATGGCGAAAATTGCATCCAAAGCACAAGGTTCCTACAAATGCTGTATGGCTATGTGCAGCAATATGCATTCTTCTTGGTCTACCAATATTGAAGGTGAATGTGGTATTTACTGCAATAACTTCAATATGCACAATTGGTTGGGTTGGTGGTTATGCAGTTCCAATATTTGCAAGAATGGTAATGCCTGAGAAGAATTTCAAGGCTGGACCATTTTATTTGGGAAAGGCAAGAAGACCAATTTGTTACATTGCAATCCACACAATGTGTGTTCTTCGTATTTATGGTTGCCATTGGATATAGATATATAATCAATAGTTAATAAGTTACTTGAGTTTCAATTGTAGTTAAGTAGCAGGTGTTGAAGTTGTTGGTAAATGCCACAGTGATATTGGCGGTGTTCAGATTTATTCTGCCCTCTTGAAAGTTGATTGAACAAGTTGCATTGATGGATGCTAAAGAACCAATTTGAACTGATAGCATCTTGCTCTTTTTCGAAAATGCAGGATTGAAGAAGCTGAAGCACAGTGTGCTTTGTTGAACTCTGAATCATTATGCGTAAGCACTTGTCTACTTTGTAATTATCAGTTATTTTTGGGATACTAGTACTATTGCTGTTTGCTAATATCATGATTGTTGTCATTCATTGTTGAGAATTATAGGATGGATGTTTCAGTTCAGATTCAGATATATTTCTCTTTGGTGCAAGGACAGTGTACAGGGAAATCTGCCTTGGTGAGTATATCATTTGGTTTCGTTTTTAAATATTATTGTTGCAAAAATTTCTGTAGGGCTCATTCTCAGTATCCATTTCAACGTACTAAGCTCCATCATATATGCGCTGTATACTTCGAATGGCCTTCGGAGAGAACAGGTACTTTATCTAATTTCAAATGCTTATTCTTGTAACTCAAGAATTTGTGCTCCGAGTCATGTCATTAGTCTTAGTCAAGAATTGGTATATGCTACCTCTTGGATGAAAATTTGGAAGTTGTTTGAAATGCTGATTGTTGGTTCATGAAATAGATGGATATATCCTTCCATGTATAGCCGAAAGGGATTTACGACGATTTGCCAATTTGCGATCAACTTCGTCTGAACTTGGGTTGAACCTTCCTTTACATGAGGTACTGCTAACTCTATTCCAATGGAAGACAGATATATTAATTTGACGCATTTAAAGTTAAATTTTATGAGTATTATTTTAAAGATTATTATTTTAATACCTTTTTTTAGGGATTGGAATCACCCGCTGATGGTAGACGTTCATCTGAGTCTAGCTACCGTATTGGAGATAATGGAACTTCAGGGGGGACAAATTAGACTTTGCTATGATCGAGATAATTAGATTGTGAACTTTCTCATATATTTTTGGCATAATGATACTTATTATTATAAGATTAGGAATTGATATATTTTGAGTTTTTTGTACTACTTGACATGATTATGGAACTCGCATTTTACATGATTATGGAACACACATTTTTTTGGATATTATAATGCTTATTTGATGTTAAATATTTTTTATTGAAATTATTTTTACTATATTACAAAGTGATAGAAAATAAAACAAAAAATAATACTATAAATAAATATATTAAAGAAGAAATAATTTAAAGAAAAAAAGAACACAAAAAAAAACTATATTTAAATTTTTTTACATAGATAATAATTTAAATAAAAAATATATATAATAGAAAAATAAAAAAAAATCAAGACATAAACAAAAGTCATGGCGACAGTACCGAACCGTCGCCATAAACAATTTAATCAATTTCAAAAGATATTCACGACAGTATCGAACCGTCGCCATCAATAATTAAAAGAAACTCAAAAGATAGTCACGACGGTATCAACCCGTCGTAAACTTGAACGACAGTTTTTGTAACCGTCGCGAAATAGGTTGGGGACACACACTTCTGTGACGGTAAAGCAACCGTCGTGGAAAGCAAATTGCGACGGTTTTAACCGTCGTAATCTACAAAAATATCTGTCGCAATCTGCCAATTTTCTTGTAGTGCTTGTCCATTCTTTAGATGTTACCATGGCTCTTAGTGAGTTTTTGTGAGACAAAATACTTTGCAAAGCAATGAAATTAGTGGCAAGCCGAGTTGGAGCAGGACGAAGGATTTCTCTTCCACCTGTTTGCTTTCTCATTAAATACAATGCATAACAATGGTTATAAATATATTTGGTAACATTAGAAGCATGTGACACTGTCTCACTTACTTCCTCTAATTTTCCCATGTCTTGCAACATCAAGTTAATGCAATGTGCCGCACAAGGAGACCAAAATAAAGTAGGAAACTCATTTTCTAATAACCTTCCAGCAGCAACATAATTTGCAGCATTATCTGTCACTATGTGAACTACATTTTCAGGCCCAACAAATAAAACCACCTCTCTAAAAAGCTTATACAACATATCTGCAGTTTTTGAAGCATGAGAAGCATCAACAGATTTTAGAAAAATAGTACCTTTGGGACAATAAACTAGAAAGTTTATAAGAGTTCTTATTTTTCGATCAGTCCATCCATCGGCCATTAGAGTACAACCAGTTTTCTTCTAAATCTCACGATACTCCTCTATCAATTTGTTCACATCTTCAACCCATTTATTTAACAAATAGCCACGAAGACTATGCATAGTTGGAACTTTATACTCCAGACTCATGCTGCAAAGTGCATCAGCCATAGATTGAAAATACGCAGAATTAGCTGCATTGAATGGCACAGAAGAATCAATGAACCATCTTGCAATAGCTAGATCACACTTCTCCACCAATTCCTTACTTTGTAACACACTTTTTAAAGAAGGTTAAGCTCCAGGAGTTGTTCTAGGCATACAATAATTACCAATACGACTAGTATTCTTTCTCTTTTGAGACACAATCACCGAATTTGATCTTGATTGTTCTACATCCATTTCTACTACACCACCCTCTTGAGTAGTAAGATCAACATCAAAATTTTGTGCTTGAGTCTTTCTTCTCTTATTTGTACCTTCATCAAGATTTTGTTTTATTTGATATTGAACATCTGGAGGCACCTTTTTACATGTTTCAACTTGACCTTTTATTCCAACCAAATGGAATTTGAACCTATTAATCCCCCCTCCTCTAATAATTTTATCACAGTAAATACACAAATTAACAAGTTTTCCTTTCTCTTCAATTTGTTTACAATGACCTCAAGCTATATCAGTTTTTCCCCTACTGCTCTGGAGTTGGGTTGGATTTTGAGATGTAACTTCTTCCGAAGTTATTACTTCAGCGGGTGATACCATATCTAATATCAATCAAAATTTAAAAATACAAAACTATATTACAAAAATATTAACAAAACACAATTCTAAACAAAAATTATTGAATTTATAAAAACATTATAAGAAACATTAAATATGTAGCATATCTAAATCCAAAATATATGAATATGTTGTTGTATATTACATATAGGCTACCAAGCATCATTACTGTGCATCACCATATATAATAAAAAAAATAGAAACTTTATTTTCCAGCCTTTGCTATATATTTTAGATTAATAAAATCCTGAAACCTTTCTTTGTTATATAATTTAAATTAATAAAAAACAGAAAACTTTGTCTTACTATATAATTTAGATTACATAGTTTTAAACCCAATTTCTATCTCCATAATATATACAACGAATATTACAGTAATATATATCTATCCCAATTTCTATCTCCAATATACAACAACTTCATTACCAGTCTATAATAACTTAATTCATAAAAGTATAAAACTGCTTCATTCATACAAATTCTATCTCAATTTGTTAAACTAAAAGACCCAATTTTATAGAAAATGATCAAATTTAATCATTTATTTTCTATATCAATTAATCAACAAAATGAAACAATAATATTCATATTGAAAAACATCAATGCAAATTAGACCAAGTAAAAAAGAAATAACCTGTTTTTGATGTTTTGATGAAATTTTTTACGGCAAACAAGGAATATCAAATAACAGCAGCAAATGAGAGTTTTTGTTGGTAGAGAAAATTGAGAATATGACTTCAATTAGAAAAAGAAAAAACATAATAAAAAAGAAAAGCTTTCAAATGCCTAGGTTTGGGAAACGAGGAGGCAAAGCGTTTATGTAAATTTTTTTTTCAAAAGCCCTAAAAAATAAAATAAATAGTCAAACCCGCCAGTTCAGTAAAAACCACTGGTTCACTGGTTTAACCAGTGATCCGGACGGTTCACACCGGTTTCATCCGGTCTAAATGTAATTCTGGTCTTATTCTTTAATCGAACCGCCCAACCCACCGTTTCTCGGTCAGACCGGTCGGACTGGGTTTTAAAACACTGGTTTTTATAGCTTTTCTTGATGCAAGTTTTGTGGTATATATATATATATATATATATATATATATATATATATATATATATTGCTTTGTTGTTTTGCATCAGGTTTTGGACAGTATGGCAAGATATTTTTGGATTGGTAATGGGCAGGGGCAGCAGCAGGCCTTGGGCTAGTTTTTGATCTATTTTATGGAGGTTTATAGTGCTTTGCAGGGTTGTTTTGTGTAGCAAGACAACAACAGGTTTTCCTCTGTTTGGAACAGGTTTTATGCAAGGTTTTGGACACCAAGGCATGATTTTGGAGTATGACAATATGTGGACAAGTTTTGACTTGAAGATTGATGAAGTTTGAAGCTTGAAAGTTAGGATTAGCATGAAGACTGCAAAGGATTTGAAACTTGAAAGTGAGTATTAGGCTTTAGTACTTAGGATCACGACTTTAGAACTTAGGTATTCTCATGTGATTATCTTGCATTGTTGGATTTAGACATGTAAAAACTCATGTAATCTTCTTGTAATGAATCCTTAAATTCAATGTACAAGACCAACTTTTCCCAATAGCTCTTTTCTTCTTTGTAATGATATTGATGAAATAATGATTTAGTATGGAATTAATTCATGAAACTTGAATTCTTGACGTGCTTGAAGATAGATAAAAAACCATGAACTTTGAATTAGCTTTGTAAATTGATGAGAACCTTTGAAAACTTCTTTTGGCATTCGCGATAAAGTATTGACAATTAGTCACATAAGAAACTTGGATATCCTTGTAAGAAATTATGAATGGTGATTGGATGAACTTGAACAAAAGCTCGAAGGAGATTGACACGATAAGTGAATCAACGTGATCTCGAACATGTCTTGAATAAGAATTGAGTGAAGTTTGCTTGAGTGTGTTTTGAACATTGTATATCCTCTTGATTCCATAAGAACTTGTACTCAAAATAAAACTCGTATGCCATGCTCAATTCAAATGGAACTCAATTGCCAAACTTGAATTCAATCTCTTGATGAATAAAACATATGTTTTAAGAATATTCAACAATATTGTAACATGGACGATTTCAACGTGAGAATCATAGTCCTGAGAAAACAATTATGGCATGAATTGAAATTATAAGTTAAGAACATTCTAAATCAAGAAAATAACCTATGACGATTCGATAACTTTCAAGGTCTTCCAAGCACAATTTTCCTTTGATCCTTGAAGAGAAATTGTAGATGATATTGCTTTCGACCACATGCAAAAAGAATCGTCCAAAAATTCTGAATATTATAGAAGTTATGATCCTTGGAAGTCAAGCAACAAAAAAAACTTAAAATTAGGTCAAAGCCCACAAAGTGACCTCTAAAATATTCGAATTTTTGATGATCTTGCACACATAATCAGCTCTTAACTTGTAAACATAAGTTTAGAGATGACGTCAAGGAGAGTCATACGCAAAAATAATCACTCAAAAATATTGAATAATGTAGAAGTTATGATCGTTTGAACTTGATCTTGAAAATGTTGACTTTTTACCCAATACAGTTGATTTTCAGTCATCCGAGCAATTGACTGAGCGAACTTGTGATGCAAGGAATGAAATTTGATATGAGAATTCTTGAATATGTATGAAGAAACATGAAAGCCACTTGAGACCATGGAAACCCAATCTTGCTTGAGAAATACCAAACCCTAGTTGTGGACCCATTGCTCAGGAGGAGAATTTGTCTGATCAATTCTTGAGCCACCTTGAGCATTTGAGAACCCTAGGAGAATATCTTGAATGAAAAATGGGAGGACAAATTTGGTGGTACAACACGCTGCCTAAAACAGAAAAAAAGTGAATAAAAATATACATTACACAACACTTTTAAAAGCGTTGTCTAAAGTGAAAGTGCTGCTAAAGGCTTACTTTAGAAAGTGCTTCTAATGTAAAAAGTGCTGCCTATAGGGGCCTCTAGAGAATGATTATTGAATAAAACACTGCCTAAAGGCTACATTAAGC